TTTTCAAACCATAGACCTCCTTTCCCCTCCCCTAATCCATATGTTCCCTCCTCCAATGAGAAAGAACCCAAGCTTCCAACAGCAGCAGCCCTTGCGTCCCTCTGCCCAGCCTTACAGTACACACAACATAGCTTCAGACTTGCTACATTCCACTGCCAACCACAAAACTTCCAAATCAAGTTCAAGATTTATGTATGTTTTCTCTGTTTTGACCTTAGACTCTGTCCCTGTGAGGGTGAGTGGTCAGAGTTCTGGGCTCTGAAGTGAAGTGTTAGTTGCTTAGTTATGGCCAACTCTATACGACCCCATGGACTGTAGCCCACCAAGCTCCTCTGTCTATGGAATTCTCAAGGCAAGAATACTGGAGTGGTTGCCATTCCTTTCTCCAGGGGATCTTCCCAACCAAGAGATCAAATCAGGTCTCCTACATTGCAGGCAGATTCTTTACCATCTGAGCCAGAATACTGATGTTCTGGGCTCTGGGTGTTCGGATCAATGATCTCCCCTTGGTGTGGACAGGTAATATGTCTGAATAAGGCTGAGATGTAGTAAGAGTTATCTGTTTTTGTTCATGCACAGTTTCAGGGATGTGATTTTATGATGATCTCATTAAAGTATCCCTGGAAGACAACAGCCTAAGTCAGAGGGCCACATGCTTGGTTTCTTCATGTCACTTTCTAGAACTTTTTCCTGGAGCCAAGTCTTTAGGCCCTTCCTCCTCCTCCTTCCCAGCATAAGATTCTGTCCACATCTCACTTTCTGGAAGCTCTCCCTGCCTCCCTACCTTTTGGGTCTGATTTCTAATTTCCTCACGTTCAGATGCTGCTCAGCCCAGTTTCCCTTTCATGGAAGCTTTGCTCTCATCTTATTTTCTACTGTCAACATCATAACCTGAGCACAGCATTAGACGTGAATGCCCTTCCCCACTGGCCACCATGTCCCAACAAGCTCTGTCCCCCCCATCCCGCCGCCTCACCACTGATGTGGGGACCACAGTCCACCCGCCAGGGAGTCCATGCCCTCAGTCCCCTCAGCTGTTAGGGGAGCAGCTGTCCATTCTGCAGAGGAGACCCCAGTGTCCCCTGCACTGGACTGGCTTACCTCAATCTCCTCTCTGTAAGTGAAGGTGACAGGTGAACCAGTCTGTAACATGCTCTTTTTAAAAATTTTCTGAAGCCAAGATTTTGTAGCAGCGAGGGTCCCCTGGAAGACCGTTTTTACTGAATTCTTCTTTCCAGTTTCATTTCCCGGCCCTCCTGCTGAATCCTGTCACCGCAAGAGAGAGACAGAGTTGAATCGACCCCACATGGCAGACCCAAAGGATCATCCAGATCCTTCTCCACCCGCCTCTGCAGCTGATGCCACCTATGCACACGGCAGAGCCTACATATTCACAGCACTTTCACTTTCCCGGCGTTTCAGCTTCACTCTGGGTGGACAGCATGGGGGTCCAGGTAGGAGAAGCAGTGGCATGGACGTGCCCTCAAGTGACCCCAGGTAACTGTAACAGAGGCGATGCTGCCTCACCAACCGGTAGACCTCCTGGTTTCTGAGCCGACAGACAAGGGAGAAGGGTGCGCCACGGGCTCAGAGCTTCCAGCAGCTCAGAAAGCCAAGCTCGTGTAAACCCTGTCCCCGAGTGACATGCTAGGGCCAGGAGGACACCCAAATCCCTACCCTGGTGCTCTTTCCTTGCGGTTCTCCATTCATTCCCACCCCCTGAAAAGCCCCTTTTCCCGGGGGTCAAGGGCTCTAGGGATGGGGATGCCTCTTTCCTGCTCTCCTTCCCTTTCTCATCAGAAGCATCTTTACCACAAAGTGGATTCAGCCATCAGCCCCACTTAGAAAGAGGCCTCTCCCAGTTCTGATGTGTATTCTCTTTTGCTTCAACCGAGTCCCACAGATTGTGTAAATGTCAAGGCCCCCCAGACTGGATCTGCTGGTGTCACTCCCTCCTTCCAGAGACGGTTGGCCCAAGGGCTAGAGGCATCATAGTGAGGCGGCTGCCCAAGGAGCTGATCGCTAAGTGGGAGATCAGTACAATCAGTAAACAGGGCAGGTAACAAGATAGGAAAGGCACATAAAGGGTGCTCGGGACTTCCCTATAGCTCAGATAGTAAATAATCTGCCTGCAAAGCAGAAGACCCAGGTTCGATCCCTGGGTCAGTAAGATCCCCTGGAGAAGGAAATGGCAACCCATTCCAGTATTCTTGCCTGGAGAATTTCATGGACAGAGTAGCCTAGCGGCTACAGTCCATGGAGTCACAAAGAGTCGGACACAACTAAGCAACTAACACACAAAGGGTGCTGTACCCAGTCTTGGGTGTGTGTGGGGAGGGGCAGGTTCTCCCCTGAAAGATTCAGGGAGCTCTGGCCAGAGTGTGAGGGGTAGGCTGGGTTATGTGTGGGCAGGGGTACAGCGATGCTGGGAGAATAGCACAGAGGATATGGGTGGTGTGGGTCAGCAACAGTTCTCAGCTGAAAATGGGACATGCTGGCTCAAAGTGAAAGTCACCAAATGAGCCAGCAACTTCTCAAATGATCCGAAAACTTTAGCAGGGTGTGCTAAACTTTAGCAGGGTGTGCATGTCATCTGCAGTCTGGCCTAGCCTAGACCCAGGCTCCATCTCCAGCCATGCTAGCCTACCTGCAGAGCAGCAGGATCCTCTCCTCCCTGACATGCACACGCTGCTCTCTCACTCTGTGGGAACGCCAGCCCCTCCAAAGGCCCCGTGTTCCCAGGGCACCTTATGGACACACCAGTTTAGTATTAACCCACTGTGCTGCAATTACGTGCTCACTGGACGGCCCCCTCCTACGCATCCCTGCTGCCAGGCTCCTCTCTTCTCCATCTGGTGTGCCCTGCAACCAGCAGATGATGGGCTGTAAGTGAACACCCCAAGCCTAAAAATCTTCTCCAGAACATTTCACCTTGTCAAATGGTCAGTCTAAATAGGAAATCACCTATCACCTTCATGTGGAAGCTCAAACTCAACAGGGTGAAGATCACACAACAGTGGGAAAAAATGAGCTGTGGACACATGCAACAGCACAGATGGATCTCAGAGATGTGCTGAGCGATGAAAGCCAGACACAAAAAAGGACAGAGTTCCAAGACAGGTAAAACTGACTTGTGATGGTACTAATCAGGAGAGTGCTTACCACTGGGAGGTGTGGAGGGAGGGGGCACAGAACTCTGGATTGTTCCCACAGCTTGATGCCGGAGGTGGTGCTTGTGTGGAAAGGCTCTGAGGTGTGCACTGGGGTGTGTGGACCTCGCTACTGTATTTGAGTTTCAGTGAACAGGAAAAAGGCCCAGGTGGGAAAGATGAGGCATGAACATGCATTTGGGTGGGGAGATTCTTGGTGGGGAGATTCTTGGTGGGGAGCCCTGGCCATGTGCTGGGCTCTTGAATTTACCCAGTCACAGCTAATACTCTACACCTGAACTTCTGCACTGCCTCCTTTCTCCGTTCTTCCCTCTAACGTAAGCCCTGGGGGCAAGCATGCAGACCCTGGCTCACCAAAATAGCCTCATGAGCAGAACAAAACCCAGCATCAGGTATGTACTGACACACCTGAAGGTGGAATCAGCCGTTCTGTCATTCCACAATCCTAGACTCAGCCTGTCTCCTTTTTGAATAGAGGATGCCTCAGGCTCCATAGCTCTGCTGGGTATGGCATTATGTGTACATGTTCCACTTACCACTACAGGTTTAAGTATAATAATTCTGCAAACAATCTCAGCAGATAAGGCAGGCATCTCATAAAACGTGTGGGCTTTTGATATTCTGCAGGTAGTTTCGTGAAGTTTCAGGCACACAGTCAAGTAGGACTGTATCAAGGGCTCCTCAAGAATCCTAACCCACAAAGAGTTGAGAGAAATGAATGAAGTAATTTAGGAGGAATTTGAAAACAGTACCCGTTATTCGTGACAAGTTCCTTCCCTTTAAAACACCTACAAGGAAGGCATGTACTTGATCCCATATAAGATAACATCCAGAACATTTCCATTAATTTTGAACTTGTGACTAAGATAAAAAGAAAAAAAGTCTTTTTGGTTTGCCTCCATGGTCTGAACTATTTTAACAAAAGCAAGTTAAATTATTTCCAAGTGTATTCCTTTGTTTAAAAAAAATCTTAAGGATGGATATTACCAAAGATTCAAATACCATACAATTTTTTTTTAAAAAAGAATCAGTAAGCTACAGGGAGGGGAAAAAAGAAAGAAGTGCTAGAAGCATATGTCCTGTGCATGAAATTTCTTTCAGCTCTGAGTGGACCTGCTTATTGGCTGATACATGACCAGAGCTGAAAGGTAGGGAGCTGATCAGGAGGGTTTAGAAGGTGGCAAGAGACAGGAATTACTGGGGCGATTCTGTAATACACAGAATTAGATGGGGTCCATGAACTCCCAGGTGCTTGGTGTTAATGCAGATCTGACACTCCCACCTCCATCCTGAACACCCTAAGAATTCAGGTGAGGTGATCCTGGGCTCCGAGAATCTAAAAAATTACCTTCTCTCCCACATGTACATTTCTATTGTTCTGCATTTTGTACACCATGCCTTCAGAGTGTCAGAGCTATTTGCAGAAGCAAATAACTTCAGATAATTATGGAAACCTACTTTGGATTTTTATACTCAACTTTCCTGACTTGCAAAAAAAATGTGAAGTTTAAATATTGATGAGATGCAAAATTTAAGCATGATTACATAATATGATGGTGATCACTGAAAAATAAATGACAAAATACAAAGGAAAAAAATGGAAATAAATCAAAACCTTATCAGCTTATTTATATGCTTTTCTCTTTTTAAAAAAGTAGGATGGTTACATTAATACCTTGAAAAAAGAAATGGAATATATATTAACTTATGGCCTTACATTAATGACAGCAAATATGGGATAAAGCCAATCATAAGGGATAACCTTATGCAAGAGAGACTGCATTTTACTTTTCTACTTACTTTTCCTGACAAATATCCAGAAGTTGCAGCAGCATTTTAAAAGTATTCTTAATACTCTAGAGTTGGGAATAAGAGAAAAAAAGGGGAAGATTTAATCATGATGCTAACATCTTTGCTAAAAAAGAAACAAAAATCCAATATAATTGAAAAAGGAATTCATAGGGCCTGGACTCCATCTTAGGCCTGTTCATGCTGATCATGCTCGGCCACCACTCCAATGGACTCTGAACTCTGTGTTTAGTGCCTATGGAAATGACAACAGAAGGATAAGACCCCCTCCGGACAGGGGAACCTTGAAGATCATATCCAGGTTACTCCTTGCCCAAGAGAACACATACACTAATGACCCCTTCCTCCAGACAGGCCATAAATTTTCTGTACCTATTGGAGTGTAACCTCGGACTTATTAATTATTGGCTAATTGTTTAACTATCTAAGCACATGGCACATGAATGATGGGTTTATTGGGATTGTATTTACCCTTCCTTTGTTTATGTAGGTCTCAAGGAATTTGGGATGGTGGGTTCGGACATGTACACATGGGGTATAAAAGATTTTCACAAATGCTGGTCGGGGTCCTTGGCTAAGAGGAAACTCTGCCTTGGGCCCGCCAGTATAAAAACTGCACTCCACCATCTGCATCGTCCTTCTGAGTGAGTTTGTTTCCCGGAACGTGTGGCTACAACATAATTAGGTACAATAATAATTTTCTTTCTATAAACAAGTTTTAAGGGGCTCAAATATACAAATAAAACTTAGGGTTTAAAATTATACCATTTTTTCCACCCCCAAAATGGGAAAAGACAGATAGCAATTAGGAAGTGGACCAGCATGCTGGATAACTTCTAACCCTGACTTGCACAGTCTCACATACCCAAGACTATTGTTTTATTGAATTCCATTTAGTGAAACAGAATAAACTTAAATAAATCAAACTTTTATCCTAAGAAATGTTGACCTTCCCCCCCCCCCACCCCGGTCTCTTATTTCTAAGTGTTTTACCACGTCAGATTTTCAGAAAAGGAGAATCACAAACTCTGACTTATTAGCTCTTGACCTGCTTTTGTTAAGCAAAGACTCAAGAGCCGATTCCAGACAACAAACCTGGAGGTTTCTGTTGGAGATTTCCTTAAGTCCTTCCAGCTGGTACCAAGTCCCTAGAAGACAGTCTAGGACACGCAGAGGAGACTGACTCAGGTAATCGATGAGGTCTTCCATGTAAGGAGTCAAGTTACTCAGAGGAAGCAAACTGAACCAGGATCGGAATAGATACTCATCCACATTCAGCAAATGTCTGTTCTTTATCATTAACTTGAGTAATTCTTTCCTATTTAAGGGAAAATTGGAACAGAAAAAAAAAAGAGCAGCAGTGAGGTCCATAAAACAGACGAAGTTAATTAAAATTTATCCTAGAAGAGATCCAGAAAGTTCTGATTTAAAAAATGATTGAAATGCCAAGAACTCAATCAAATGAGAAGTAAGCAATAATATATTAAGAATTCAGCAACATGGATGAACTCTGAGGACATAATGCTCAGTGAAATCAGCCACTCATAATTGAACAAATAATATGATTATATATATACATACATCATATATATATACACACATACATACCAGTTCTTTTTTATCCATTTATTTGCTGATGGATGCTAAGGTTGTTTCCATATCTTGGCTATCATGAATGATGCTGCAATTAACATAAGGGTGCAGATATCTCTTTGAGATACTTATTTCCTTGGGAAATACACCAACAAGAAGGATTGCTGGATCATATGGCAGTTCTTTGTTTAAATTTTGATACTGTTTTCCATTGTGGGTGCAATGATTTGTGAACTGAGCTTGTCAATGTGTGAATAGGCAAGTGCCTGGATCAAACAACCTATTGAACCCAGTCCAGAGAAGGTCTTTAAATTATTCTGTTCTGTAATACTGTCCTGAAGACTCAAAAAGATGGCATCAGGAAAGTATGGCAGAGTGCAACAGAAGTGACAGAAACTACAAGAAACACATGGAAAAAGCATCATTACATACTAACGGTCACTTTTGCCTGAAAAACACAATCTTTAAGACCAATTCTAATGTTTGTCATTTTCTTGCTCATCATCTAAATATCTTCTAGATAGTCAGTCTTCTAGTTACATGTCCCTGGAAGGGTATTTAAATATATGTATATACATATACACACATACACACACACACATATATATAATTATATAAATAATTTTATTTTGGTTTTAACTTTAAAATGTTCCAATAATAGTGAGGAATCAATAACTTAATTTAGCTGACCCACTATTTCAATCCCTAAAAGTGTATAGGCTAGATCCTTTTGGATTGGGGAAGGGGGATAGATGAGACTTGGTATAGTTCCTCTGGCAAAAGACAAAGTAAGTGGGGGATGTTATCTGTGCTTAGAACTAAGTGCTAGTATTAAAGTTTTGTACTGAATTTGTATTTCCTATTAAATTTTGTACTTAAATTATATTTACCATTTTTCTTTTATGGATTGCGCTTTCTGTATCTTCTCTAAGAAATATTTGCTTGCCTCAAAATGGTACTTCACTGCCTAAAGATGTGTACCTACAATCTGTAAAACATACAGTGCTGTATGTTAACTATATCTCAATAAAACTGTAAGGAAAAAAATTGTATCATTTGTGGCTGACTTTTAAGCATGTAAGCACCCAAATAATCACACTTGGATGAAACCTTGCAAATACATAGGTCAAAGTTTAACAACAATGATTATCTCTGTGGTTGCAGGTCATTTTTGTAGTTTTCCATTTCTTGCACGTTTAAAACTTTTTAAAGAAGTAATTTTAAGGGAAGTGGTATATTACGTCCGTCATCAAAAGGAGGGGTAAGTGGACACTGAAAGTCCACTGGTGATTTTGGAAGCACAGCTATGATTCTAAAATTTATATACACAAGTGCAGGTCCAAAACTTACTGATCTGGTCTTGATTCCCGAAACTCCGAGAAGGAGATGCCTTCAAGGGCTGCCCAGGTGTCCTCAGGCTGCATGACTGAGCCCTGGGCTGGCGGGGGCAGGTCCATGCAGTGGTGCAGCACAGGCAGAGCACACACCCAGAGGTCAACCTTTTTCTCCATGCACATATGGCACAGGTTTACCAAGGACGCTCGCCAGCTAGAAAGGGAACAGAAATGGACATGAGTCCATTCTCCATGACAGTGGGAGAGACAGAAGTTCAGAGAGGCTTGTGATCAACAAAAGGTCCCTGATGTCAGAACTAGGACTTCAGTTCAGGTCGTCTGGCAACAATAAACCTACATATGAAGCAATTTTTTACATATAAGTGGGGAGCCTATAAAGAATACATGCCATGATCCTTACAATCACAAATGTGCATGTTTCTCAAGACCTAGAAACACATGTATGTTTCCCAGCTTTGCTTTTCTCTTTCAAAATGAACAGGATTTAACTGGGTGTTTAAAATTTGTAAAACCAGGAGGCAAGTGTCCATTAAGTCTGGCTGCTCAGAGAAGGCTACCCAATATTATTCTTGAGTTCAATTCAAACAGCTGCAGAAAAAAGACCTGGGGATCATCAGAGGGTTCTGGAGAGGTGTCTCCAACCAGTGAAGCCTAAGTGCCTTAGGACATGACACAGTCTCCACACTACCAGGGCTCCCCAGCCCAGCACAGTGGGCATGGCGGTGGCTCCTGGACATGCAACAGTGGTGGCAGAAGCCACGGGGAGGTCATTCATGATGGTTCCACAAACATCCTCGAGTCCAGCTTCATTGTCTTACCATGACGCATGCATGCATGAAAGTCACTCAGTCGTACCTGACTTTTTGCAACTCCATGGACTATACAGTCCACGGAATTCTCCAGGCAAGAATGCTGGAGTGGGTTGCCTTGCCCTTCTCCAGGGGATATTCCTAACCCATCGATTGAACCTGGGTCTCCCGCACTGTGGGCAGTTTCTTTACCAGTTGAGCCACATGGGAAACCCCCCCGCCCAAATACAGGCCCGCAGGGCTGAGACATGATACACCGTAAAGCTGCCCCAAAGCAAATATTCAATAGAATGTGCAATAAAACGAAACATAATACATAGACCAAAAAAGGCTAATGGGATAAACACTGAAGTGATAACAGTTCAGTTCAGTCACTCAGTCGTCTCCAACTCCTTGCAACCCCAAGAACTACAGCACGCTAGGCTTCCCTGACCATCACCAACTCCCAGTGCTTACTCAAACTCATGTCCATCGAGTCGGCGGTGCCATCCAACCATCTCATCCTCTGTCATCCCCTTCTCCTGCCTTCAATCTTTCCCAGCATCAGGGTCTTTTCAAATGAGTCACTTCTTCACATCAGGTGGCCAAATTATTGGCATTTCAGCTTCAGCTTCAGACCTTTCAGTGAATATTCAGGACTGATTTCCTTTAGGATTGACTGGTGGGATCTCCTTGCAGTCCAAGGGACTCTCAAGAGTCTTCTCAAACACCACAGTTCAAAAGCATCAATTCTTCGGCGCTCAGCTTTCTTTATAGTCCAACTCTCACGTCCATGCATGACTACTGGAAAAACCATAGCTTTGACTGGACAGACCATTACTGGCAAAGTAATGTATCTGCTTTTTAATATGCTGTCTAGGTTGGTCATAGCTTTTCTTCCAAGGAGCAAGTGTCTTTTAATTTCGTGGCTGCAGTCACCATCTGCAGTGATTTTGGAGCCCAGAAAAATAAAGTCAGTCACTGTTTCCTCTGTTTCCCCATCTATTTCCCATGAAGTGATGGGACCAAATGCCATGATCTTAGTTTTCTGAACGTTGAGTTTTAAGTTAACGTTTTCACTCTCCTCTTTCACTTTCATCAAGAGGCTCTTTAGTTCTTCTTCGCTTTCTGTCATAAGAGTGGTGTCATCTCCATTTCTGAGGTTTTTGATACTTCTCCAGGCAATCTTGATTCCAGCTTGTGCTTCATCCAGCCTGGCATTTCGCATGATGTACTCTGCATATGTTAAGTAAGCAGGATGACAATATAAAGCCTTGACATACTCCTTTCCTGATTTGTAACCAGTCTTGTTCCATGTTCAGTTCTAACTATTGCTTCTTAACCTGCATACAGATTTCTCAGGAGGCAGGTAAGGTGGTCTGGTATTCCCACCTCTTTAAGAATTTTCCACAGTTTGTTGTGGTCCACACAGTCAAAGGTTTTGGCGTAATTAATAAAGCATAAGTAGATGTTTTTCTGGAACTCTCTTGCTTTTTCAATGACCCAATGGATGTTGGCGATTTGATCTCTGGTTCCTCTGCCTTTTCTAAATCCAACTTGAACATATAGAAGTTCATGGTTCATGTACTGTTAAAGCCTGGCTTGGAGAATTTTGAGCATTACTTTACTAGCATGTGAAATGAGTGCAATTGTGCGGTAGTTTGAACATTGTTTGGCATTGCCTTTCTTTGGAATTGGAATGAAAACTGACCTTTTCCAGTCCTGTGGCCACTGCTGTGTTTTCCAAATTTGCTGGCATATTGAGTGCAGCACTTTCACAGCATCATCTTTTAGGATTTGAAATAGCTCAACTGGAATTCCATCACCTCCACTAGCTTTGTTTGTGGTGATGCTTCCTAAGGACCACTTGACTTCGCATTCCAGGATGTCTGGCTCTAGGTGAGTGATCACACCATCGTGGTTATCAGGGTCATGAAGATCTTTTTTTGTATAGTTCTTCTGTATATTCTTGCCACCTCTTCTAAATATCTTCTGCTTCTGTTAGATCCATACTGTTTCTGTCCTTTATTGTGCTCATCTTTGCATGAAATGTTCAGAATGATCTCTGTTCATTTCCAAGGCAAACCATTCAATATTACAGTAATCCAAGTCTATGCCCCAATCAGTTATGCTGAAGAAGCTGAAGTTGAACGGTTCTAAGAAGACCTACAAGACCTTCTAGAACTAACTCCCAAAAAAGGTGTCCTTTTCATTATAGGGGACTGGAACACAAAAGTAGGAAGTCAAGAGATAACTGGAGTAACAGGCAAATTTGGCCTTGGAGTACAAAAATGAAGCAGGTCAAAGGCTAACAGAGTTTTGCCAAGTTTTGCCACTGGTCATAGCAAACACCCTCTCCAACAACACAAGGGAAGACTCTACACATTGACATCACCAGATGGGCAATACCGAAATCAGATTGATTATATTCTTTGCAGCTAAAGATAGAGAAGCTCTATACAGTCAGCAAAAACAAGACCAGTAGCTGACTGTGGTCAGCTATAACTCCTTATAGCCAAATTCAGAATTAAATTGAAGAAAGTAAGGAAAACCACGAGACCACTCAGATATGACCTAAATCTAATCCCTTATGATTATACAGTGGAAGTGACAAATAGATTTAAGGGACTAGATCTGATAGACAGGGTGCCTGAAGAACTATGGACGGAGGTTCGTGACATTGTATAGGAGGCAGTGATCAAGACCATCCACAAGAAAAAGAAATGCAAAAAGGCAAAATGGTTGTCTGAGGAGGCCTTATAAGTAGCTGACAAAAGAAGAGAAGCTAAAGGCAAAGGAGAAAAGGAAAGATATACCCATCTGAATGCAGGGTTCCAAAGAATACCAAGCAGAGATAAGAAAGCCTTCCTGAGTGGTCAATGCAAAGAAATAGAGGAAAACAAGAGAATGGGAAAGACTAGAAAGCTCTTCAAGAAAATTAGAGATACCAAGGGGACATTTCATGCAAAGAAATGACAACAGTGAGTGGTAAAATTATGGGTAGTTTTTATTTCTCGTATGTCTTCATCCATTCTCTGATAAATACTTATTTTTATAATCAGATAAAAACCATTAGAGAGCTAGGAAATCTTTACATGTGCGCGCGCGCACACACACACACACACACACACACACACACTACCTCTGAGATGTTTCAAGGATGTCTTTCAGGTCCTTGGGAAAGGCGTCTAGTGAATTGGTGTCCAAGCAGAGGAGGTGACAGAGTGAGGCCAGGTCTTTTTCCAGTAAGAGGAAGTCGAGTTTTTCCACTAAAAAAAGGACGATCATGCCCATTCCCAATTTACTCTTCACTGGGCAGTCCTCAGGCAGATGGTCCCCACTGGTTTCCAGAAATGGTGCCATTTTCTTTGTCACACACTTCCACAGGTGCTTACTCACCTGGTCCCCAGAGAAAAGGAAAACACATAACCATGGTGTTGAACCCACCAGAGGTGTCAGGACCTGCCCGTCACTGAGCTTCGTTTCCTGTGAGCTGGGTAAGGCCTGAGGAATGAGGGGCAGGGAAATCTCTGGGGAGGAGTCGCCCTCCACCTGCCTCCCCACTAAATCCTGACCATCCTCTTGCCCCGGGTCTTTGGGAGGTACCACCAGGGGTACACCCAGAGGCCTCAGCATGCTGGAGAGGATCTCAGGTGGGGGTCCTAAGCCTTATAAGGGTTCACATGGCTCCAGGTCTGTCTCAAAAATGCCTAAGCTATACCACAGAGCAGGTGGAGATGCAGTGAAGGAGGGTTCTAACCTTTTTCCCACTCTTCCCCAGGAGAGATAAGGAGGTGGGACCAGTGGGCAGGGGGTGAGAGGGGAAGTGAGGAGATGGGACCAGTGGCAGAGGTGGATCTAGGTGAGCAGGTGGGAAGAGGAAAAACTGGAGAGAACAGAGAATTCCCTAGACAGGACACAAGGAGAAAGGGGACTGAAATAGCCTGACCCTCTCCACCAGCATATTAAAAAGAAGACATCACTTTGCAGACAAAGGTCCATCTAGTCAAAGCTATAGTTTTTCCAGTAGTCGTGTGCGGATTTGCGAGTTGGACCATAAAGAAAACTGAGCACCGAAGAATTAATGCTTTCGAACTACGGTGCTAGAGAAGACTTTTGAGGATCCCTTGGACAGCAAGGAGATCAAACCAGTCAACCCTAGAGGAAATAAATATTTCTGAATATTCACTGGAAGGACTAATGCTGAAGCTAAAGCTTCAATAATTTGGCCACCTAATACAAAGAGCTGACTTATTGGAAAAGACCCTGGTGCTGGGAAATGTTGAGGGCAGGAGGAGAAGGGGCCCACAGAGGATGAGATGGCTGGATGGCATCATCAATTCAATGGACAAGACTTTGAGCAAACTTTGGGACATAGTGAAGGACAGGGATGCCTGGTGTGCTGCAGTCCATATGGTCGCAAAGAGTCAGACATGATTGAGTAACTGAACAACAACAATAATCCACCTGGTTCACTGAGTCAAGGGGTCATATGGCCACTAGGGAGTGGGGTGATTCGAGCACTCAGGAGGTAGAAAAGAGAGCTGTTGCTGACACCCCTGAGACGTGGTACCTCCTTCTCTTCATACTGTAGAGTACTCCATGGCTGTTCTTCTCCTTCATAAATCATGGGCACACGAATGACAGAATAGAGCTGTTGGAACTGGGTGAAAAATTTCATTAAATTGATGGCATTCCAGGTCTCAAGGATGCGGAAGATGCTGTCCAGCATGACTGCAGCCGCGATCTGCTTCCCTTTCACCAAGTCTCTCCTCGTACCATCTGTTATACGATCCATCCATTTCTGAAATGTCCCAGGGGGCTTCATACGAATTATATCATCGTACTGATGCCAGTCTAAGAGTAAAGAGAATATTATACTTAGGGACACTGAAACCCACTAGACCTGAACACTCCACCCTGGAAGGTTGATCTTGACCAGAAGAAACAAGATGAAGGAGCTAAAAAGGGAAGAAAGACAGGAAAATTACAGAATGTGGTAAACAGAAGGCAGCCAGCATTCACTCACCCTGGTACCCAGTTACAGATGAGCAACGTGGGGCCTGACCCTGGAGGTAGCACAGATGTTTAGGACAAGTAACCTAGACACTCCACACTGAATTGAGTGAGGCCCAAGCTCACACCATTCATCTGCCCTGAGAATACTGAAATCATGTCTTTGTCGAACTAGATAGCTCAACACATTTGGTACGTTAGTTCCTTAGGAAATGACCGCATGGAAGTCAAAAATTTCATACTGAAACTGCATCACTCAGTAGGAATTGTGCACCATTTTGGTATGTTACTTGGTGCAAGAACTCCTTTCCTCTGTCCTGGGAACCATGGTGCCCACTCCACGAAGGGTGGCACAGTTCACAGAGCAGACAAAACAGCACTCAACATGGGGTAAGGGTTGAACTTATGGCTTCTCTTATAAGCAGCTGAAATGATATGAGTGCAGGCTTAGAAAACCCAGGAAAATTAATTGCCAAATAATTAGAAGGCAAAGAGGTCAGTAAGACACCAGAGGCAACACAAGTGCATAAAAACAGCCAGGAAAATCAGAATGTCGAGTCTCTGAACAAGCCTCCTGCTCCTTGTTGCCCAGCCTGTTGTCTTTGCTGGAAGGCCCTGCTCACACATCCCTGCCCCATCCCAGGCCTGTCTGGCAACAACTAGGAATCACTGTGGAGATTGTGAGAGTGCCAGTTCGGGTCCTGGGCTAGGGACGCCCTCGACCCCAGGACAGTGGGGCAGGGAGGGACATTAATGGTCTTGGTCTCAAGACTCTACTAGAAGAATAAAATATTTAAGTTCCAACCTCCTGAAGAAAAAAGAAAAAAATAAAAAAGTTTTAAAAAGTAGGAAAAAAGAACAAGAAAACAAAGTAGACAGAAAAGACATGATAATTACTCAAAAGTGAGTCTTCCATTGACAGTCACAATTCATGCCAATGGGCTAAGTTCATCCAAAATATGATCAGATTGAGAATTTCCCTGGTTGTCCAGTGGTTAGGACTTCCCACTTCCACTGCAGGGACAAGGGTTTGATCCAAGGTCTGGGATCTAAGATCCCACAAGCCACACAGCACAGGAAATTAAAAGATCAGATTGAATTGGAAAAAAAACAAACAAACCAACAAAAGCCCAGCAAAACAAGGATGTGGCTGTAACAGCTGAATCTGAGAGAAAGCAGCAGAGCTGGGACAAAAAGCAAAGATGCTGAGGTGGGGGTGAGGAACGCAGACACAGCAGAGTCAGTTTCAGACAAAACACAGCATAAGGCAAAAGACACTGGAACAGACAGACTGCCAGTGACGGCTGTTTCTGCCACCAGCACAGACATCTGCCCTCTGGTCTCCCTGCATCATGGGCTGGAGCCCAGAATCTCCATTCTGCCTGCCTCACAACGTGGCTTCTACCAATGAGAGTGCTCACAGGAGGCTTAGTAAGAGGAAGAGGGGAGGGAAGACACCTCTCTGTTTACTGGGATTAATGAAAACTACATGTATTTAACATAGATAAACTACCATCACACCAAGTGGAGCAAATTATAAAACATTTCTCAATCAACAAAATTCCAGTGCCTTCTAGACACTCGTCACAAATCACCTACATTGATGATGTCAGGGGCTGGGGCACTTCCCCACCTGGGCTCAAGAAGTGACCTCCAGACCCTCAGAAGCCACCAGAGTCCCTCCCTGGCCTTCCCAGTCCTCCTATCAGTTACTATGACTCACCTCCTATCCACTTATAACTCTTGATTTAACCTAACTGATCTAGTTATCATCTCCCGGGGAGTTCTAAGGTCAGCGTACCCACAGGACATCTAAATAGAAGAGCCTATATGGAGAAATAACCAAAGGGCCTGAGGGCCTTTGCAACAAGGAAGGAAGAGCTCTAACGCTCAAATTTTTCTAAGCTTGCAAAATATAATTATTGAAAAACACTATTTAAAACAATATCATGCTTAAGAAAGCTTCTGAAAATTAACTAGCTTGGCAATTCTGAGTCACTCTCCATCTTAAAAATCCGTTTAATGAAACAGTTTATATAACTTAATATTTTAAAAAGACCAATCAAAAAATGGGAGAAGACCTAAACAGACACTTATCCAAAGAAGACATACAGATGGCCAACATGCACATGAAAAGATGCTCATCATCACTAATTATTCAGTTCAATTCGGTTCAGTTCAGTCGCTCAGTCATGTCTGACTCTGTGACCTCATGAATCACAGCACGCCAGGCCTCCCTGTCCATCACCAACTCCCGGGGTCTACCCAAACCCACGCCCATCGAGTTGGTGATGCCATCCAATCATCTCATCCTCTGTTGTCCCCTTCTCCTCCTGCCCCCAATCCCTCCCAGCATCAGGGTATTTTCCAATGAGTCAACTCTTCGCATGAGGTGGCCAAAGTACTGGAGTTTCAGCTTCAGCATCAGTCCTTCCAATGAACACCCAAGACTGATCTCCTTTAGGATGGACTGGTTGGATCTCCTTACAGTCCAAGGGACTCTCAAGAGTCTTCTCCAACACCATAGTTCAAAAGCATCAATTTTTCAGGGTTCAGCTTTCTTCACAGTCCAACTCTCACATCCATACATGACCACTGGAAAGACCATAGCCTTGACCAATTATTAGAGAAGTGCAAATCAAAACTACAATACTACAATAACGTATCAGTGTACACTGATCAGAATGGACATCATCCAAATTATACAAATATCAAATGCTGGAGAGGGTGTGGAGCAAAGGGAACCCTCCTATACTGCTGATGGGAATGTAAATTGGTACAGCCACCTTGAAAAACAGTATGGAGTTTCCTCAATAAAACTAAAAATAGAGCTACAATATGATCCAGCAACCCCAACAATCCCACTCCTGGGTGTATATCCAAAAAAGATGAAGACTTTATTTTGAGAAAAGACATGCCCCTCCGTGTTCACTGTAGCATTATTTACAATAGCCAAGACATGAAAGGAAACTAAGTGCCCATCAGCAGATGAATAGATAAAGAAGACATGGTATATATGCACAATGGACTGTTACTCTGCAATTAAAAAAATATTGCCATGTGCAGCAACTGGATGGATCTAGAGAATATCATATTAAGTAAGTCAAAGAAAGACAAATATTATAACACATATGTAGAATCAAAAAAAAAATAATAATAATGAATTTATAAAACAGGCACACAGACAGAAAATAAAACATCATTACCAAAGGGGAAAGTGAGAGGGGAAGTATAAATTAGGAGTATAGGTTTAAGAGATACACACTACTAAATATAAATTAGAAAAGTGACAAGGATTTACTGTATTAACACAGAGAACTATATTCAATATCTTGTAAAAAGCTGTCATGGGAAAGAATCTGATATATATATATGATATATATAAGTCTGATATATATCATATATATATATATGTATAAAACTGAAGCATTTTGTTGTATCCCTGAAAGTAACACAAAAATTGAAATATACTTCAATGAAAGAGAGAAAAAAATGAAAAGGGGGGAAAAAAAAGAAAGAAAACCTTTTTAATGGACTTTAAAATGATTGTTTCTGTGTTGTTGTTATTTTTTTTTTTTTTAAAGCATCTCTATCTGATTTGACAGCTTAAGTACCAGGATCCAACCAGGTAAATCTGAAGTGACTAAGGCAGTGCTTCCTAAGTAAGAGCAAATGGGACCTGCCATCCCAAATCACTACCACTTCTTCTGCAAAGACTAGATCAACACCAACTATTGTTTGATGACGGGCCATCTAAAGCATGGAAACAGCCAGTTTGGATCATCCAGCAAGTGAAAGGCAAAGTTAGAAAGGATCATAGGACTCTGGGATCAGACCATATAGAAGAGAGTCATATAAAGGCAATCAAGTCAACACTTGGGCACATTGAAGAAGAGAACATGACTCTAGTTTCTTCTCTGTCTCTTTGGGCCAGTTCAAAATAACTAAACATCTACGCCACTGACTTCTATTGCTGTCAGCCTGACTGAAATCCCAGCCACGGACAGCATCAATGGCAAAGACCCCTCCAGATGATTCCAAACGCAGCCATCAAGTCACTCCCAGCTTTCAGTCCTGCCTAGCTGAGGCCCCAGACATCAGAGAGCAGAAACCACCCAACCCTACTGTGCTCCATCCAAACTCCTAACCCACAGAAGCAATGAATATAATAAAACTGTTTTATGTACTCCCAAAACACAAATAAGCAAATAAAGTACCTGGTCTTGGTGACAGAAAAACTGACAGATCAATCCTTTTAAACAAAGATTTTAATTTTAATCTAATAGATATACATACAGCTTTTGAGTCTACAAACTTGATTATCCGTTCTTTCTGAGGATACATGTAATGTCTATGACAGACCAGGAATTCAGCTACAAAGATCTGAGTGATTCCTAAGAGTAGAACCCATATAGACTCTCTATATACAACACATGCACATGTATGCACATACCAAACAAACACTACACACACAGTGCATACAGTGAGTGGAACAGAGCACAGAGAAGAGAATTAGCTACAGACAAGAATAGAAAGAGAAAAAGAGAATAAAGTGATAAAAAGTAAATGGAAAAGTGACAGTGATGACAGACAGCAGCGAGTGGTGAATCTGGCCCTTGGTGGCTTCTGCTGGATGTCTTATTCATAGTTGCCATTTGGAAATCTGGGAAGGTCTTCTATCCTGTCTGGCAGCCCTACTTCCCTTTCCCTTGCTCCTGCTCACTGCTGCCTCTCTATGCCCCAGTCTCCTCCCTTCCCAGGCAGATCCACCTTCTCTCCTTTCCCTTAGAAAAAGTCCATTTCCTTGTTTACTCTTGTGAGTGGTTACGCTAAACTGATCAGAAACATGCCTCCAAGCTCAAGTTTAGGAAACATAGAGTGGGGAGGTAGGGCAGGGCCAATGCCAAGCAAAGAGGACCCACAGAGGACAAGGAAAGCCTTTACTCCCCAGAGAGGAACATCAGCCTCAGAAGTTCTGATCAAGAGTCCAGACTTCGGCTTACCTCCAGAGTCCAGAAGGGAAGGTTTCACCCGCAGACAGCGGTTCACATGCTCGCCTTCCTTTGGCTGATCTTTGTAGATGAACTCATACTCCTCAGAGCTCTTGCCGCTGCAGATGATGTACTTGTAAGGAATGGGTTTATTCATGTGCTGCTTGGAAATGATGGTGCTGCCTTCAATGAGAGACCCATTCTTATGTAAGTCTCTGTGAATAAACAGGACAGCAGCTGGTTATCTGAAAATCCTCTCCCAGAAATTTTCATTCTTCTCAGACACAAAATGAACTACAGACCCAAAGCTATGAATATATGCTGACTGAGAAGATGCTTCTAGAACAAGGCTTGGTTTCCACATAGAGACAAAGAAGACCAAGATGAAGTATGACAAAGAAGTGCATTATAAGGAAGAGTTTTTTGAAATATTCATCTCCCAGAAGTTCTAACGATTAATCAACTTGATCAAAATTATGATTTCAATATATTTCAAAGACTGGACATTCTGTACATTTCCTTATGGGCCAACTGGGATATACTTACTTGCTGTAGTGCATTTCACAAACATTATAACTCCATGCAGGCTTCCCGAATTCTTCTCCACCCCTGACAAATACTTGGTGTTGGTGGGGGTTGAATTCCAACTGTTTAGAAACAATTGCATGGAAGTACACTGTGATTCCATTCGCGGAGCTCAGCAAGCTGAGGGAAAGTCCCATAGGAAAACACCAATTATATCTGGATTTCTCTACTCCCTGCCCACACACATACACAGGCATACATGTGCACACACGATCTTGTTTCTGGGCATGCACTAACACACACCCCAGCAAAGTGCAAGAGAACCCACACTTCAGATAGACTGCCCACCATGTGGGTCCCCTCGGCTCTCCCTCTACTGTGGAGGAGGACAGTGGGCACAGGGTGGGGTGATCTCTGCCCAGCTCCAAAGAGCTGGGGGTGGTGGGAGGGGGTGACTGAGTACTCTGGGGCATGACTGCCTCTCTCCTGACTTCTGTAAGGTCCATGCTGCTCAGGTCCCCAGAGACCATGTGATGGCGCATTTCAACCAGTCAAGGAATTGGGACAGGTGCCCCTCCCTGCCTACCTCCTGAGCGTTGCCCTTTGCCCTGAGAGTCAACAAGCAGGCAGCCTGGGAATCTCCTCTGGGGTGGCGTGGCCCGTCCCGGCCCCAGTGCTGGGCGGGGGCCAGGCCTCTGCCTCCCTGAGCCAGTTGCACCCACCTCTCCTTAGCTCGCTGTGTGCTCTGGTTCCTTTGCGCCTTCTCATTTTTCACAGGGGCTGCATTATTTCTGTTATTCCCCTCTGGCTTCTTCAGGTTCTTTGGCTTGGCTTTCTCATTTTCACCTGTTTTCCTTCCGGGAACAGTCATCTGGTCCTTGGTTGCAATTTCCTGGAACAGGCACCCAAACCCCAACCTTTAGACCAGGCTCCATGCTTGCCCCCAACACAGGACGCTTGTCACAGTCACGAGACTGGTCACATCCCTTCCCTGCTCAGAACCTTCAAATGGCTTCTGGTCCACCCACCACAGGCTCCAAGGACTCCTGTCCCAACATCGTTAACACCAGCCCCAACCCCCGCCTCTCTTCCCTTCATCTGCTCTTAAGAGAAGCAGCTTTCCTGCTGCCCCGTAAACAAGCCCACCACACTCTCCCTTGCGGCCTTTGCATGTCCCCAGATAGGCGCGTGCTTGCCTGTCACTCTCAGTTCTCCTTGGAGAGGTCCTGACTGGCACCCACTTCAGTCCCTTGCCCTATTTCTCTCCAGGGCACTTCACACAGTCTGGCTTTGCATGTCTTTCTCCCCACTAGAATGTGAGCTCCGAATGGCAGGAACTGGTCTCATTCATGGCTATACCCCCAGCACCTAACACAATTCACCAAATGATTAAGCTGTGGAAGGAACGGGACTTTAGCAGCCCATGGGATGGACAGCAAGGATGGGGAGGGTGTCCTGGAGAGCCGACCAGGCAGGCATGAGACGCTTTACCTGGCGGTGGTCTCGGGAAGCAGGGACGTTTGTGGGCAGCTCTTTCGCTTCCTCAGTCTTATCTTTAACATCTTTCTCAGCTCCTTCCACTGAACCAGCTGGCTCAGCTGCAGCATCACTTGCCTGGAAGAAATAAAGTCCCCAAACATCAGGGCCAAAATGACAAAGTGCACAGGGAAACTTGGACTCAGTGGCATAAGGGTCAGGCTCTTCCACCAGCCCAGGAACAGGGGTCATCTTGCTCAGGGTAGAGGCATAGCCCCTCCCACAGCCCCCCTCCCAGGAAGCAAGCCCCAGTGTATGCCCTTCAGACAGTGAGGTGTTGTCAGATCTGCACTGCACAGCAAGGTGTTGAGACATGGCAGGCCAACCCGGGTCATCAAATTCACCCCAGAGGCAGGAGCCCTAGCCAGCTGCCCAGTGATCTGCAGCTCTTTCCTGGGCTTGGAGGTGTCCGCCTTGGGCTCAGGCAGCAGGAACTCCTGGGCAGTATCCTTCTCCCTAGGAGAGCCTTCGCTGGCAGAAGTGGGGAGATCTTCACCCTTGGAGGGGCTCAGGGACTGGTGGTCATTCCCTTCCGGGAGGGCTCCTCCCAGAGTCTGGTCCTGAGGTGCTGGGCTGCTCAGAGACTCGGTGCCCGTGGCTGCTTCTGCCTCTCCTGCAGCCTCGCCTTGCAGAGGGTGGCCCATAGCCTCCAGTGGTATTTTGCCCACACTTGGAGGCTGGCCTGGCTGGTGAGTGGGACTACCCTGCTGAGCTGGGCTTTGGCATGCAGCTGTGTCCTGGAGCCCAGGGTTTGCAAGCAAACTCAGACTACAGGACTCCAATGAGGAGGCGGACAAGGAATCCAGCTCTGCAGATGTGGAAGATTCCAATTCCTTTTCTTCCTTTTACTCCTGCTATGCCGCTAAACAGAAAAAAAGACATTCATTTTGTTTCTCAGGTTTTCTACACTCTCACCAAAGGTTTCCTCCAATTTCCTTTCAATTTCTGAAGTACATCAAGCATAGCTCAACCCTACCACGTTACAACTGCTAAATCTGCCATTCCTCTCTCTTGGAAAGAAGGAAACTGAGCACGAAGTGAACGGGGGTGGTAAACAGAGTTGAGGGACAAGTGGGGAGCAGTGATGGTCACACACTTTGCTTTGCCCAATCCAAGTTGAGACCATCATGTGGAATACCTTCCAATGGGACGGCCTTGTAAAGATGGCTTTCAAATGTTAGAAACTATGCACAGGCCCCAGCATGTCACACTCTTATATGGTATGTATTACATACAAAATAGAGATGGAAAAATGAGCAGAAATCTAAGCTGTTCCTTCCTGCACTTGCACTGGCACATTATGCTTCTGCCTGCAGATCCTCACTCAAAGACAAGAATCCTCAGCTTCAGAATCAGACAAGCTTGTAGAAGCAGTTGTGGCAGGCCCCTGCGAGGACCCCAAAGGGCTGAATGCCCTGCACGCAAGGCAATCTTGGTCTGCAGCAAAATATTGATTAGTTCATTAAGTGCCAGTAACCTGTGATCCTCCCTGCCACTGAAGCCCAGTGTGGGCTAGGGCTTGGCATCTTGCCCCTTGCCTGGGCTAAGTCCTCAGGAGAGGGAGATGGAAGACCTTGGGGTTTATCTGCACATGGGGTGGGACATTTTATTCTGGGTCAACGTCCACATTTTCTCCAAGAAACCTGACCAAACTTCTAGCCCATCTGCTTGAAACAAGCAGCACAACGCACAGGCTGTCCTGAATGGCAATTTCCCAGTCTGACATCAATACCAGCTAACACTGTGGTAGAGAGAAGGAAGGTCATTCAAGGCGGTCAAGTCAAACTTCCAGGGCATACAGATCTCTGAAGATTTTGCCAACATACTGATGGTGACTCAGCACATCTGGGGGACCTCAGGTCCTGCATTTCCATGCTGCTGCCGCCAGTCCAGGCTTGCTCTGTGAGCACTACCATCAAGCAGCTCCCCACTCCAGGCACCAGCATCTCCATTAGCTTTCCTGGTGGTCCTGAAGTGCAGCCTCACTGGGAACCACAGATCAGACCAGCAGGAAGCTGTATGCAGGCCCCACAGCCCCAAGCCCTTTGCAGATTCTCCTCCTTTTTCAAAGCAAGCCTGGCTTAAATTAAGTCGCTTATGCTGATTTACCAAAAGGAACCTGGAACTCTGTCCTAAGCACAAGGAACAAGAAAGTAAGACGAGTTCCTCCCCTATAAAACTGATGGTTTACTGGGAGGGAAATACTAAAAACAGATGGTTTTAGCTTGTTAGTAGGACTCGGAGGCTTTCAGCAAAGAGTCTTAAGTTGAGTCTGAAAGTCACTGAGAGCCAAGAAGGCAGTTTCATCAATCGGCAAAGATTACTGGGACCTGTGCATCTGAATGTGGCCAAAGCCACAGGCTACCTTCTAGGTTGACCTGCCCACCCAGAATCAAAGCTTATTCTTGGCTAGAAGACCCCACATGACTGGCCCTCACTGTCTGTCAACCTCATCCCACCCTAGTCCTGCCCTGGCCTCCAGCATCAATCCTGTTTTTTACTATCTGTACTTTAGGATGTTTCCGCATTTGGGGGGACCTTGCTCATCCTGGAGAGACTGCCCCTCCCAGGGTTACTAATACCCAGAGAGAGGTGGTGACTCACCACAAGCACATCTTTCATCTGCCAATCAACCAACACGGAGCTCCTCCCTCCACCCACCGCCCACCTCCTTTATCAAATGCTCCCTCCAAGCCAACATTTCCAGCTCCAAATCACCACAGGGCCAAGTACAGGACATCTAGACCACCCTACTGCCCAGAGTCCACCAAGAGCATTCACACTAGCCAATTCTGGACCTCCTCAAACCTGCCTGCCCTGCCCCACAAGGCAGACTCGGGGCCACTTTCTCCCCTTGCTCCTTCCATCTCCCCTGGCCCTTCAGACATGGCCCCTCCTCCTGGGAGCGGTGAGGAACACTGACCTCCCGTGTCGTCACTAGGCACAGAATCAGGGCGCCTCAGGCTTCCGGTTCCCTCTTTCGCCAGACACCTCCTTCACTTTCACTTTGTCCTCTGCCCCATACCCCTCGACAGACCACCTGGACACTCCCAGTAGGAAAGCAAACGTATGTAGCCCTGCACTTGCTTTATTTTGTTACTCAGAAACCATCAACTAAACAAACCTTTTATTTTCCCTTCCCTCCAGGAAGGAAGTCTCTGTTTTCTTCACTGCTGCATCCACAGTGTCTAGAACAATCCCTGAGCCCCGGTAGGTGCCTAAATGCTTCTATCTCATTATATAAATTCCTCAGAAAGTCCCGTGTCTCCCTGCAGCACCAACATGTTCCCTCTTCCCCTGGGATGCACCCACCTCAGTCAGGCCTGTGATCAGACCCAAAAACAAAGGGTTTTGTATCAAACTATTAGTGAAATGAAAATCAAAACTACAATGAGATATCACCTCACACCAGCCAGAATGACTGTCACACACACACAAAAAAATCCACAAACAATAAACACTGGACATGGGTGGAGAAAAGGAACCCTCATACACTCTCTGTAGGAATAGAAATTGGTACAGCTACTATGGAGAACAGTATTTAGGTTGCTTAAAAAACTAAAAATAGAGCTACCATATGATCCTGCAATCCCACTCCTGGGCATATATCTGGAGAAAAACATGATCTGAAAGGAAAAATGCACCCCAGTGTTTATTGTGGTACTGGTTACAAGAGACAAGACATGGAAGCAACCTAATGTCTGTTAACAGAGGAATGGATAAAAAAAGCTGTGGTACATATATACAATGGAATATTACTCAGCCATTAAAAAGAATGCAATAATGCCATTCGCAGCAACATGGATGGATCTGAAGAGTGTCATACTAAGTGAAGTAAGTTAGACAGAGAAGGAGAAATATCATGTGGCATTGCTTATATATTGAATCTAAAAAGAAATGATACAAATGAACTTACAAAATAGGAAGAGACTTAGAAAACGAACTTATGATTGCCAGGGAATGGGAAAGTTAGGGAGTTTGGCATGGTCATGTATGCACTGCTATGTTTAAAGTGGAGAGCCAATAAGGACCTGTTGTCCAGCACATGGAACTCTGCTCAGTGTTACATAGCAGCCTGGATGGGAGAGGAGTTTGGGGGAGAATGCACACAACTATATGGATGGCTGAGCTCCTTCAGTATTCACCTGAAACTATTGCAACATTGTTAACTGGCTTTACCACAACATAAAATAAAAAGTTCAAAAGAAAAAACAAGAGAGTTTTGGCTTCTGATTTGCAATTTGCCTTTCTTCTGTTTATCTCCCTTTCTCCTTTTTTCTTTTTATCCCTATTCGATTGTGCTTTTTATAAGCTGCTACAAAACCCTTAGAATAAGACTCGGATTTCACACAGGCAACTTAGTTCTCTCAATACACATCAATGGGGCCATATGAGTGTCTAGCCCCTCACAGGTCTACAGGCAAGGCATGAGGCTAAACTCTAAAATCTTCCTTGACAAAAATCAAGCCTATATATACATGTTACATATTTATGTATTCCTCATTACTGTGGTCTGTCACTCTGAACTCATTAGTCCAGAATATGTACACTAAAACTAAACACTACTGATTAGGAATCCAGACCTGGTCACATACTCTGGGTGTGGGCAGTGGATGGGGGTGGTTGGGAGGAGACCCCAATGCTTCTGATGATGTCTTTGTTGACGATGGATGGTAGGGGATGCGTATCCACTAAGTAATCCGGCATCTGTGTTATATATACTCTGTAGGGTGGGTGTAATATTTAATTAAAACATTTGTTAAGTACATAGTTTATTGACTTGGAAGGGATGCTAGAGAACTTTCTGGGGACTGAATGTCCTGTCACTGGATCAGGTAGGGGTGACAAAGCGGTACACACAGCAGAACATCCAGGGGGCTCTACCCTGAAGGCCTGTGTATTTCATTCAATACTGATTATACCTCAGTTCAAAGGCTATAGACCAGCTCTAAATGCATACATAAAGGCTACTCCTATTTCTGCCTAGAGAGAATTAGTGAGAAAAAAGTAACAGTTTGCTGCTTCTTGCAGGGAAGGTGGGTTAGTCAGAACACATGTCTGATTTTATATTTCATAATGAGGGTCCTCAGAGAGCAGAGAGATCTCAGTTCTGAGGAGGGCAAGGCAGCCCTGTTCACTCCCCTGAATACTGGGTCAGGAGCACATGGAGGGGTGGGGGGGTGTGCTGTGGACCCCGAAAATGCACATATGGCAGGAAGTGGGGGTGACAGGTGAGAACACGGACTAGTAGGAGAGAAAGTCTGTGAAGGTTTTGACAAAGGCTGAAGGGTTGGAGGCTAGGTGGGCCTGCAGCCCTGCCCAAACTCCCAGGGGTCCTCTGCCTCATTCTGCACTGACAGTGATTGGGATAGAGTAGGATAGTTAGTTAGTTTAGGAATCACTCTCGGGGATTAGGAATGTAAAAGGAATTTTACTGGAGTTTGGGAAGCCGTTGTAGGCAAATGATTACTCAAGAGAAGAATCTAGTAACCTAGCAACAATCTACACTATCTTGAAGGAAGACCAAGCATCCAAGCATTGGGCACATTCAGGCCACAAGCTCTGATGATTAAAACACAGGACAGGAAACACGGTACCCAAATATTGTTACATGAAGTCAGGGAGTTAACAGTCCTTGAAGAGT